TTTAAATTTCTCCAGATGTTCAATTAATTTTTTTTCTGTTTGTTTTTTGCATTTTGTGTGTTAAGGTATTCAGTTTTGTTAAAGTACCTAAACAGGGTCTGTTCATTGCAGTGATACATAAAGTTTGCACATTGTGGTTAATCCATCCAAAGCTTATCTTGGTATCTTGTGTGAGCCGTGAGGTGTAAATGAAGAACAATGTGTGTAAATGTTTCAGACTGTGCTTAGCATGTGTTCAGTATCCACTAAGACTCTTGTCTTTTCCCCTTGGTTTCATCAGGCAGCTGCTTGTTTTGTTTGTTTTTAAGGAACCAGCCCTTAGATTTCTTTCTTTCTTAATTTCTCAGTTCTCTCATTCATTCATATCTGTTTTCATTTTCCCTACTTTTACCTTCTTTTAGTATTTCTTGCTGATATCATACTGTCATCATTTATTGAAAATTCAATTGCACACCTTCCGCACACCAGGCTTTGTGCCAGGTGTTGGGAATGCAGTGGTCAGCAGATAAAGATGCCCTGTCCCCAGGAAGCTTATAGTTGAACCCAGACTTTAATTCTCTTTGTTTAATAATACAAGCATATCTATATACAGATAGATAGACAGGTGTGTGACTGTAGATATGGCTGTTTTTTGTAAATTTTGCTATAGAGTCATATTCCCATTATTGTGTAAATCTCTACTGTATAATGTTGAATCATGGAGAATTGCTGATATTCAGGATCAACACAGGATCAACCCAAAGAGGAACACACCAAGGCACATGGTCATCAAATTGACCAAAATAAACAATAAGGAGAAAATATTAAAATCAGCAGTAGAAAAGCGACAAAAAACATACAAGGGAACTCCCATAAGGCTATCAGATGATTTTTCAGCAGAAACTCCACAGGCCAGAAGGGAGTCGCACGATATATTTAAAGTGATGAAAGGGGGAAACTTACAATCAAGAATACTCTTTCCATCAAAAACTTCACAGATAAACAAAAGCTAAAAGATTTCAGCACCACCAAACCAGCTTTACAACAAATGTTAATGGACCTTCTCTAGTCATCAAACCATGAGAATAGAGAACAAAAAGAACAACAAAAAGACCTACAACAGATTGCTTTGGCTGTTCAGGATCTTTTGTGGTTCCTTGTAAATTTCATAGTTGTTTGTTCTAATTCTGGGAGGAGTGTTGGGAGTATTTTGATGGGATTGCACTGGATCTGTGGGTTGCTTTGGGGAGTGTGGCCATATTGATAGTGTTGATTCTTCCAATCCAAGAGCACAAGAGATCTTTCCCTTTCTTTGTGTCATTTTGGTTTTCAGAGTATGATAACCTCCTTGGTTAAGTTTGTTTCTAGTTTATTTCTAGTATTTTGTTGTCTTTGATGTAGTAGAAATGTCTCAGCGAGTTAAAAATGTCTGGTTTTTGAACTGAAAAAAAAAGTGAATGAAGGGCTGCAGGTGGCAACATATCTTTTTTATGGATGAATTGTATTCCATAGTGTGTGTGTG